ATACTCACTCAAGACAATTAAAGTCGGAAACCTTAGGGGTTTAGCTATTGTTTAAATGCAAACAGATAAATAGAGAAGCTTCCTTGAGGTGCAATAAACTATTCGAGCACGTAGCAAATAGGATGTAGAGGGTGCATATCTATTCGACTTAATGCGGCGCTTTATACGGATCTACGTAAATAGACTAAGGCCGAACGAAATTGAGGAAATTTCCTTATCTTAGGTAGGTATATTTAGGGTTGCAAAACGTATATCGTACGAAGATAATTCCGGAATTAATATTACCTACGAAAAGGAGAGGACCACAACAAATTCTTCCCCATTTCTTTCCCTCGGTGAGGCGAAATCATTTCGTAACATAATAGAAACGAATCTTTCCGTATATATTTGCAGTGATTTGTGGGGGGCTCGTCCGAAAATGATGCAAAAATAAACCAGGTCTTTTGTATTATCGCTTCGCAGGTGTTAAATTCAAATATTGTCTAAATTCGCGTTTTCATTAATAATAATAACAATTTATTTCATGCTATTGTACATAAAGTACTTACATATCGTCATTCATTATAGGTACGATAGTCTAAAACGTCTAAATACAGATAAGTGTATACGTTACAAACATCACGAAAAAAATAACACTCCATTGACAAACAAAACTAATGCTGGAGAAATATTTGATTAAATTCGCATTTAATCATTATCCAATTCAATCATTATACGAATAATTCTGTTATCCTGCTTTTCCATGTTCACAATTAGGTGCAGTTCCGTGAAAAGTACTGGTACCGAAATATTGAGCTTTTGACAGTAATTTTGTGCTCATTTTGTATTGTATTGTAATCGCGGTCAATTTTCGATATACCAATATTGCGTTTTCTGGACATTTTGAACCCACTTTTTAGCGTAACGTATGTGGTCCACTCTTATGCACACGATAACCCAAAAACGCCTGAAACAATTTGGACGAAATTTGGGGGTGTACCTATTTTTAAATGAGACTCGAATTTCGCTCCTACACGGCATGCTGTACAAATAACAACCAAATAAAAACCCTAAAAGCACAAAATTTACGTTATTCCTCAAAAAATTGCATAAAATGTACGAAAAGAAACTAGTTTTCAACATCGAGTATTATAGGATGTAACGAGAGATATAAATTATGTTCAGAAATTGCATATCTCAAAATATTGGTACTCTAATAGCTACGTCCAGGCGGGACTGCGCGAAAATACTGATCTCGAAAAAATTTGATATCATCCCTGAACATGCAAACTCGCATGCAAATAACGAATCCAAACCGAATTTTTGAGAATTTGATAGCAAAACTTCAGTAGTGTCGAAAGTGTGAAGAAGTACCGTACCGACGTCAAAACTTTGCGCAATAGAAATGAATCTTTGATACGTTTTTCTCGTAAAAGTTAAGCTTGTTTCGAAGTTTCTGGTAGAGCATCAAAAGCAGAACCCCCAACCTAACGCAAAGTTGTTCCTACCCGAATATTAGATTGCGTTATGTGGGGTGCGATAATAATCATGCATGGATTAACTCATTTTTTGTTCGTAAACATTACGTATATGCATTTTAAATGGTTTTTGTTTAAATAAATATAAATAAATTCGTTTAAGGTTGGTTAAATTCCGTTAATCTCACAGTATCTTGTGTGCTTTAAAGCGAGGAGAATTCTCCAAAGCTGTGATTTACTTCCAATTTTCTTATCACTGTCTTTTGCGTTTTCAGTTTTATTTTTCTTCTTCGATGAGATTTTAATTTCAATTTCTGGTCTTCTGTATTCCTCGTTTTCCATTTATCGGCTTTCGGCATTTGGTTCTAGCTCTTCCATCTTCGGTCCTAGGTTTAGTATAGGGTCTCCGGTCCTTTTTGCCATTTGGGGTTTGCGATTGTTTAATCTTTAATTTTCTTTTCTATGTCTTAAATTTCTTCAATTACTGCCAATTTTTTGTTGCTCGCATTTTGCATCTTCATTCGAGTTTCATTTTGTGGGTTTCGAATATCGCTCTACAAACTTCAGCGTTCTGTCTGCGTTTTTTTGTTTTTGGTTTTCAATTTTCATTTCACAAACCCCTCTCGAATTAGGTAAATAGAGTGATCACTGACAGATTGACATTAATCAAAAGTTCTGTATAAAAATTGAAATTTTATCGAGTAAAATGTAATACAAAACTCGTCAGTAAAATGACATTACCTGACTCGGGATTTAAATACTTCTTCGCCAGTACTGTGTCATTTTCCTGACTTTCACATAAATAAATATTACAAAAACTGAAAATATGAAGAAAAAAAAATAAGTACCTGGGGAAATAATAAGCGACCTCGGAGCGTAGAGCCTGCCACATTACCTTCCTGAAAATATGTTTCTAGTTATGGGCTCGGTTATGGGCTAAACTAAGAGGTCCTTAGCCTTACGCACTTTATCCCATATACCATCCCTAGACGTTCTAACGCGGATGCTATTAATGCTATTATGATTAGAGGAGATCTTGAGGATTTGGGAGGAACATGAGGAAAATGTGAGCGATGCCCAGGATCAACTTGAACAAAATATGCGGGGGAACTGGGAAAAACTTGAAGAGGAACATGCGCAACTTGAGAAGCACGTTAGAGAGACTTGACGAGAATTTGACAAGCACAAAGGAAATTGAGATGAGCTTGAAAAGAATTTGATAGAAACTCTAACAAAGTCTGAAAGGAAATTGAGAAGAATTTAAGCAAATGCTAAAGAGGAACGTGAAAAAAATGTTATGCGAGTTTGAGATCAACTTTGTTTAAGGAGAAATTGACGAAGAAATTTAGAAGTGCCATGTGAAAGTAATTTGAGAAGAACTTGGAATAATTTTCTGGTAACTTCAGGAAAGTCTAAGAGGAGTTTGACAGATATTGAAGAGAAAATTAAGAGAAACTTGCGAGGAACATGAACGAAACATAATGAGAACTTGAGACTAATTTGCTGTGGCTATAACAGATACCATCCACAGACTTGCTCATGCGCGATTCTGCCGTTTTATGTGTACCAAATTTGGTGTCAATCGGTTCAGCCGTTTAGCCGGAAATGAGAGTACAGACAGACAGACCGAACGAAATCAACGAGATTTTGCTTGATTCCGATTCCGATTCCTGGTGCTTCATAACGTGTACTTCCGTCAAAAAGTGGGGGATACCCCAACGCAAATACCTCCCTTACTAACGTGCGGGTGGAACTTCCACGAACAGAACGGAAAGAAAGTTAAACATCATGAACTCGTTTAGGAGCTCGTTAATAAATAGCTCGAATCAAATAGCAAAAAAATTATTAAATTAAATTAAGTATTATTATTATTAACACCCTGTAAAAGAGCGATCAAAATTTAAATCATTCTCAATGTCGCATCAAGTCCGTATTATTGATTTTGGAAATTCAAGTCAACGGAATCATAAGTACAGGGCTCAAAAGAAAAGCAGTCATAGTACGTCAAAAATTTTAAAAAATCTTGAATAACTTGAAAACCTATGATTATGAGTATAGCGAAATATGGTACCAAACTACGTAGATTTTCATGTAGATTTCGAATATGTAATAAAATACAGGGTGTTCTATTTAAAATAAGAAAGTTGCTATCCACATCCGCAAAATCGGAAGTAAAATATAATATTTTCTTTCGATAGATCACAAAAAAGCTATGTAGGTATGTAAATTTTCAAATTTAAATTCTCTATGAAGTATGAGACCCTCAATACTTTTAGGTAACGGTTTGCGTGAAACAGCCTGTATAGATTGTACCATTTCAGGACCTTTTAACCTATGTAAAAAAAATTTAGCGGCAGAGGGCACAAAAACACGATCGAAAACAAGCAGTTTTTCAACGTAAACCGATAGTGCAAAATTTCCGTTAGGAAACTACATTTCAGGTCCCAAATTTGTGCTTATTCTTTAATTTTTCTATTCCAGCAGCCATAACAGATAGAAGGATGATGGTAGGCGGCCTGGCCTAGGCTTTGATTTTGTTGTTTCTTAATTTTTTGCGAAATGCGCGAAACAGAAATTCTGTAATCGACGAATCCAAAATTAGACAATTTAAAAAAACTGCAATGTTTGTATTTTAAATATTGCTGGTATTAAAAGATAACATATGATTTTCCATAGGGTATTCTTTCATTATGAACATCTGCATTCCGCCGGTTATATATTATGGGTGGATTTTTTTATATTTATTAAGGCCATTTAGTCCGACGCCTGAAACGGAATACGGATTACAGAAGGACATTCAAAATTTTTAATTCAGTTGTTATATTTTTCGGCTAAGTTCTAAAATAGAGGTTTATTTCTAAATGAAACATAAATGTTGTTTAATAATCGTTTTTAGTACAAGCAGAGAAAATTTAATCTGCGATTATGACACTTACCTTTATCACAGACAGAGTATTTTAATCTGTGCCTTTATGTAGCTCGGTGTGTAATATCCATGATAATTTTGTTTATTTACACTCAATGTTCGTTATTATATTATTTGTTTGGTTACAAGTATTTTCTATAGAAAAACACGAGGAAAACAGGACCTTTTTTTTTTAAGAAATCATACAATTCCGGCGGTGGTCACTTGGTCAGGTTTCGTTTGCACATTCATTATGTCGTCGTTTTGTGCAATAAGTACTTTGACATTTCCTTCTCACTATTAACGATAGTAGTGCAATCTAATTTTGAGCGTGAATAATTAGTTCCTAAGAATTGTATAATTTTCGAAAGACAATAAAAAGAGCAAATACAATTTTATTAATAAAAATCAATTTTCGAATAAAAGTGAATGTAGGTATTTACATAGCTTTCTAAGAGAAATTCACTGGGCGATTTTCCGCAGTAAAGAGCTTCGGCAGAGAATTTTTGAAGCGAGTCTAATTTTCAGTTTCCGGGAGCAGGCTTTCAGGTTTCCTTCTCAGGGGAAAAATGCTTCTAATCAATACTTATACCAACCATCGAGCAAAGCTTTTGGGTTTCGTTTCAATTTTTACTTACTAATTAATAGTGTACGCGAGAATTCCTCCTGGTTGACAACTAGTATAAAGCCGTCGCACTCGTGCGAGTGGTTAAAGTACACGTGATCCTGATAATTGCCTTTAATTTTAGTCTTTTCAGCGCGGACGTAACAAAATCACCGCACTTAATGACAGAGGACCAAAAAACCGTGTTTTATGTGACGGTCTGACGGAGCGTAGTCCTTTTTTTGTACCGCCACACCTACCGCAACTACGTGTAATTGTATCAGTCTCGCGACTAATCGAAAATAAAAGGTTGCTTTCTTTCAGCATTGCTCATTTGATGAAAATCGGTGGGAGGAATCGAACGTATTTGGTATGGTTAGTATTTAACATCAGCTGACTAGGGCCACTAACCTACTGGCGGTTACAAACGAATTTTCCCGGACTGGCTGGCCGGAAATACGCCGTACAAAGTGCATGTGGTAGCCCCTCGTCCCCCCCTCGCCCTTCCAATTTCAAAGGCGAATTTACATTCCCTTACGGAGGGAGTCATTATAGAACTTTTCAATGGCAAAGCAGAAACGCTCATAAAGTCGGCTTTATTTTCAAATCTTACGTAACAATATTTCGTAATTTTATCGGTACACTTACTAAATCACGTACATTTTATTGGTTCATTTTCCAAAAAAATGGATGATTGGTGGTGTTCTTCCGGTCGTTTGCTTGTGGCCTATCAAATTATTTTAAGGCGCACTTTGTTCCCACTTTTCGGTATAGGTAGTTTAGCCCTCAAATTTACACTAAACTAATTTTTACGTATGGGAGAAAACTGTATTTGCTTTTCTGCGAATTACACCAAAATGAAAAACAATAGTTCCAATTTTTATGCCTTCAGCACAAATTGTGGTACTGGTGTCGGTTAATTTCCCTCCCGGAAAATTCACCCCCGGAAGCTTTGCTGTCACTATCACAATCAAATACATGTGGGTCAAATTTCCTTAGGGAAAAGTCTCCCGAACTCAAATCTTCGTGAGTGGATGTATGGGGATGAATCTTCCACGATCGGATTTTACTGGAAAGGAACATACGGGGGTGATCCTTCAAGTCACGAATATTCTAAAACAACGTTCGAGAACAAGTTGCCGAGTTGAGTTTTCGCCAATTACCATATCGAGTAGGTATCCCGAGGAGAATATAAAAGTTACTATTCCATAGACTCAATTACAAATTTCCATAATTGAAAATTGTTGCGACAATCATTACCATGGATATTAAACGTCCAATCTACTGTTTTGAGCAATTATACCGAAGGGGCTTAACTCTGGTATGAAGATAGAATTTCACTGTTTGTGCGAATTTTTCGGTTCGAATATTGACGAGGGCCAATCTTCCGTAGCGAATATTCATGGAGTGAATCTTCCGGAGACGAATATCCCGAGGGCGAATTAAAATTTACCGTAGGGCGAGGTTTTTAGGCGAATTTTCCGTGTCGCATCTTCCTATACAATCGTGCTACCTTACACCAAAAATGTATGAAATTTCGTTACAATTAAACTTTGGACATATAAAGCTGAGCATTGCAAAAAATCAAGCGATAACGATTTTTAAAGTGAGCGGACTACGAAATTTTACTCCGATAGTTCATTAGTATGTCCATTCCTAAGCCGTTTATTATGTAAACGTTAACGACCTCGTTCGCGAACGATAATCGTTTAGTTATCGATTAAAGATTGTTGGGCATTTAGAAATGTCATATTTAAAAGTTATTAATTGGCGATGATCGAAGACATTCATTAAAGACTATAATGATTTGAACAAGCCTGAGAACAGAGGGATTGTACACAAAAGGATAACGATATAGCTAATTAAAGACCCTAATATTAATGCTAATTGTTTGTAAATTCCATTGAATAAACCATTCTTTTGTTAAGAAAAATAGAATTAGGCAACGATTTTCCTTAAAAATTGGAAAATGCACAATGTGAAATCGTTATTGCCCATCTTGGAATGAGAAATGCAGCTTCCCCTACGAAATTCATAGAAAATTTGATACATGCATTCTATTTACTTTTACTAGAAAACCTTTCTTCTGTTAAGATTGCAATAGAATTGTTAGTGGCCTAGCAGAAGGCAGCTTTGTATAAAGTCTACTTTTTTGAATGTCAAAAACGGTTAAATTTAGTTATAGGACATTATACTCGTACGTGATATGTAGGTACATACAATTTTACGTAGAATCTAAGAATGATATAATGTACAGGGTGTACCATTTAAAGTAAGCAAGTTTGTATCAACTTCCAATACCTATCACCGGAAAACTCACTAACATGTGTTAACTTTCTTAGAGGTTTTAAAAGTTTCTTGAAAACTGTTAAATTTCGTAGAACGCCCTTGAATACCTACCCTTGGAAGCTCTTGGAGACAATTGAAATTAAAGACCGTTGAAGGCTCTGAAACAATCTAGAAGGCTTTTAAAGATTCTCAAAGGCTTTTAAAAGCTCATCAAGATTCAGTAAATCTTTTAAAGGCTCTAAGCATTTAGAGAGGTTTATAAGACTTTTATGAGACACTAATAAAAGCTCCAGAAGCGTTTTAAAGGCTTTTCAAGGTTCGCTTTCCGCACACTTTTGAAGACTAAGATTCTCACAGACGCTTAAAGTGTTATAAAAGCCTTTCTACTAACAGAAAAAGGGGAAAGGGTATACATGTTCTTAAAATAGGAAAATGAGGGTATTATAAAGATTTAAAATTTCGTTCAGAGAGAATTGAGGACTTTCTTTAAAATGTTTGGGAATGTTTTTCATTTTCAAAAAGTCAAAGTTTGATGCCCTTATTGCAAACATTTTTAAAAAATTTCCGGAATTTATGATGTAGTTGGCAAAGGACGATTTTTGTTATGGTTATTAACTGAAGGTTTGATATTTTCATTATAACGCGTATAGTCAAAAGGATCTTTAGTGTGGAAAAGGAGGGGAAATGGAAAGTGTGAAACTCGATGGATTATTAGGTCGGGTTACGAGGGAGGTTACAAATCAAATACGCTACGGTAGTATAACATAGTCAGTGGTAAGTTTTTTATAGACAGTGAATTCCATGAGGGGTTTCGTAACGGTTAGGTACATTACAAGGGTTAAAGAACCTCCTGCTTGCTAAATAAAATTAATTCTCTGCGGCTCTGGTAAACATTTATCGCAACTAATTTTACCCTGAATTTTACCCATGGCTCTATCAGAATTTAAATACCCTACCCCTTACTTTGCGGAAGTTTCCTTTTTAAATCTGAAAATCAAAATTGAACGATCTGGTTTGACTGCAAAAGTCAAACTTCGAACTATCCTGCACTGAGTTTTGTTAATAGTACCGCTTCTTAGAAATGAGGTCACCGAACGTACTAACGGGTAATGCTAATGTGCCTCTCCGAACTCGCAAAAATTGGCACGGTCGATTTATATCCTCCAGTACTCGTTGTTTGCCGTGATCTATCTTAAATCCGTGCGATCGAAATTTTAGAGATCGTAAAATTACAGGGAGAACCGACACGCTACTTCGATCGACGTTAAGCTGAAACTCCCTCTATTCTTTCTCTAATTTTCTATATGTAGTTGCTCAGTAAAAAAAAACGAAACGGAACGAACGGAACCAAACTAAATGCAACGACGGCGTACCATATTGTGATCCTATAGAAAGCCCGTAGTTTCGTAATCTGGGCTGCTTTAAACGCGATCAGCCCACACGTTCCAAATACGCTCGTTTTATCGCTATGCCCAACTCGCGTTCACCTTTCGTATGAAGCGGTGCATATAATATTGTTATGTAAATTACGTGATGCGGACGTTGTTATTGGTAACAGCACCTGTTGTAATGTTGGGGACCCTGTATGAATTAAATTTCCATTTGTTTAAGGTTAAATGTTGTTGTAGATTTGGATTAAACATAATTTCGATCATAGTATTTGAATTTGAAGTTAATGTTGATTGGTTTTAGGATTATTAGATGCTTAATTTTGTTTAAACAATCGCTTTGTATTTTGATTGATTTATTGAACAATTAGATTACGATAAGAAATATTAGAGACATCTGGAAATAATTTCGTTATGTTTTTAAAAAGTTTATCTCACTTAAATCCGGTCTTGCGATAAGAAGTCCATTATTACTTCGTAACAACTATTTAATTTTAAGATAAACAGGTGTTCGCCCAAGAAAACACAGGTGTTAGTTTATCGAAGACCTGTATTGAAGTTAGATGAGAGGGGGGACCGGTCATCTTTTCTAATGGATTTGATCGGCTAATGTTAAAAAAAATGATAAAGAAGTAGGATCGGAAGGAATCCAAAAAGCCACTATTTGAAATCACAAGAAAGACAGTTTGTTTCAATCCGTCTGTTGTAGAAAATCGCAGTTCTCTTTTTAAGGCAATTAGAATTTTCAAATTTAATTTGTTTCAATCGATCGCATGTGCATGGTATATTATGTGTAGGCCCTGAGTGTCTTTTGTCTTGTTACATTTATGTTTTGAAAGGAATTCTAAAATTAATCTAGGAACGGAACATCCAGGTATTTATCAGTGATGTTGTATTACAATTTAGTAATGACATACAGTCGTTTGCACTAAAGATGGCTTTACGTCACGAGTTTGTGAACGAATTTCAATAGAGTTCTTTATTCTTTACCACATGTCAACACGTGATCGAGAACGAGATGGTAACAATTTAACATAGTTGGAAATTGGTTCAAAAACTAGTGACGTAAAGCTCATCTTTAGTGCAAACGACTGTACGTAGTGTGATTGTTACCCTCTTTCGGGTAGACATACTAAAAGAATCCAACTCTGGAGTTACTATAGTTCATTTACAGAAGTTGTTGCGCTTAGACTCGAATGGAAAGTAAGTTTTCGGATTTCGTGAAAGCACTTGTGGTGTTCGTAATTGCTAGTTATTTTATTGATTTTGTAACTTTCCTATTTGAGTGCAGTGTGGATGACGGCGGCATTCTCCCTTTGTTAGATAAGCGGTCTCTTGGTCACCAATTGAGACATTTTTATTCTGATTTCTTTTATCATCAAACTCCGTTATAGTGGATTATTGTCATAATACATTTTTCTTTTCTCTCATAAATCAAAAGTACCTACCTCATAGTTGAACCATACATATGCTTCATTTTTCAATAATAAATACCTTTAATAGGATTCTTTGTGTAAATACAACTCTGACAAATATTTCATAATCAAATGTAATTAGCTGACTATTTCTGTATGAGGCCCGTGGGCAAAGTTAGTTGAAAAATTGGCTT